ATGTATTTTTTTTTTTCAATTTGACAATTTTTATTTTTCAAGGGTGAGGGCAGGGGTTACAGAAGAGAAAATGAGGGGTAGGGTAAGGTGGTACATTACACATTTCCATCATACTGTTTATCCATTGTTGCATGATAGATCAGTAGTTCAAACATTGTTGGAGGGCATTAACTATGCCCTATGACAGCCCAGAGGTGTCACCATGTTTACGAGTCTGTACTGCACATGTTGTTGTACCTTTGTACTGTGTGTTGCTGTGTGGATGGGGGTCGGATGTGGGGGAGGCGGGTGCATGCACCAAGGGAAGGAGGGGTTAACCTATATACACAAGTGGGTTTAGTCTCATCTGTTTGTGATACATCTCCCTGGTCTTTATGGATAAGGCTTGCTGTTCCTGTTTGGTCCTATAGCACTTTTTTTTTTTCTCCTCCCTTTTCCCAGGGTATCCCTTCTCGGATTGCATGGGCAATGGTTCCTACTCGTCTCCAGTTATCTGGGTTTTCACCGTGTTCCAGTATTGTTCCCAGATTTTGGCTGCATCTATAGTTGCCCCTCCCGTCCCAAGTTGTTGGGCCGCCATGTGTTCGTATTCCCAATTCTTTTGGATCTGGGTAACTAGCTAAGTTTTTGTGGGGACTTTATGCGATTTCCAGTTTTTTGCTATGAGGTTACATGCAGATATTATCGTGTGAAATAGGAGTTTGGTATGGGCTTTGGTCATGCCCCCTGGCCAAATGTATAAGAGGCATATTGCTGGGGTCAGAGTCAACTTCATAGGAAGCAGGTGGTCAACAATGGTACCCACCATGGTCCAGTAAGGTAGGATGTCCTTGCACGTCCACCATACATGTAATAGTGAGCCCTTGTCCAAGTGACATCGCCAACATTGGGCAGATGTACCCAGGAACATGTGTACTAGCCTTGTTGGGACCAAATACCACCTGTATTGTAGTTTTCTTATTTGTTCAAAGTGTGTAATGCAGGCAGTATTGCCTTTATGAATTGTAAAGGCTCTGGACCACTGGTTCTCCGTAAAGGTACTTCCCAGGTATTTGTGCCATGCCTGTATGAAATTGTCCGTGGCGGTATGTGTGCCTTCAAGTAATGCTCCATATATTCTTGAGATGGCTCGCCTATGTGGTTTGCCTGTAAGGCACCATGTGTCATAGCTTGAGATCATGGATGTCATAGGTGGGTTTGTGGGCTGTCGTAGTATAGACTTGAGCTGTAAGTATGAGAAAATCGCTTTATTCGGTACCTTGTACTGTGTTTGTATGTCCGGGAATTGTTTCAGGGATGTACCATTGTATACGTCGTGTATGTGTGTGCACCCTGCATTCGTCCAGGTCCGGTAATCGAATGTTTGGTTCCTCAGGTATATACTATACATTGTCGATGCTAACGATGTTACTCCTGAGCCGCTAAGGTGCGCTCTGTGTGTGTCCCATGTGTGCAGCATTAGTTTAGTGGTCTCTAGCATGTGTAGTGTTGCCGGCCTTAGGTGTTTTGGTACCCAAAATAGATGGTGCACCCCGGCCTTGCATGCCCAGTGGGATTCAATATCTACCCATTGCGTGGCCAACATGGCTAGAATAGCAGCCTTGTAGTACAATTTAACGTCAGGGAAGCTCATGCCTCCCCTCCATGTCGGTCTTTTGATTGTGGAGTGTGCCACCCTGGGTGTTTTATTTGCCCATGTGAATCTCGTGATATTTTTTTGCAGTTTGATCATATATTGCCTGGGAATGGGAATCTGCAGCGTGCGGAATAAATATTGTAGTTTTGGCAACAGTGACATTTTAAATGCTGCTATGCACCCATGCCATGAGTGGAAGTCACTGTTCCACTGGTCTAATGTCTGAGTGATTTCCTGCAAGAGTTTCTCGTAATTGTATTTAAACATTTGGTGATTCGTCTTGGCTAACTTGATCCCCAGAAACGTTATATAATCTTCTCTCCAGTCAAAGTTAAAGGATTCCGTCAGTGTTTGTAGGGTACGCCCCGCTAGGTGAATTCCCAGCGCCTGTGTTTTTGTGAGATTGAGCTTGTAGTAGGATACTTTGTTATAGTCTTGTATGCACTGTAGTAGATTCCGCAGGGATATTTGTGGTTGCATCAGGGTCAAGAGTATATCGTCCGCAAAGAGATTGAGAGTGTACTCCCTGCCCCCACTTGAACCCCATGGATATCAGGGCGAGCCCTGATCGCCGCAGCCAGAGGCTCCAGCGCCAGTACGTATAGCAAGGGGGACAGGGAGCACCCCTGTCTCGTTCCGTTGGTGATGTCTATTTTTTTTTACACAAAACCTGAATTAAGGACCTGAGCTCTGGGTGCCGAATAAAGTGCCCTGACTACAGAAATGAAGCCCTCCGGGATCCCATACCTCTTTAGGGCCGCCTCCAGGAATCCCCATCCCAGCCGGTCAAAGGCTTTTTCCGCGTCCAATGAGAGCAGAACCCCCCCTTCCTGTGTCGTCCCTAGGCTTTGCATAAGGTCAAGGACTTTTCTGGTGTTATCTGCCCCCTGGTGCCCCATCACAAATCCCACTTGATCATCATGTATAATATGTGGTAATATTGGGCACAGTCGAATTGCGTACAGTTTAGCCAGTATTTTGGTGTCGGTGTTGAGGAGGGATATGGGTCTAAAGTTTTGAGGGTAGGTCGGAGGTTTGCCCGGCTTGGGCAGAGTGATAATGTGGGCTAGCTGCATCTCCCCCGGAAGGGTCTCTGTTTGTATGGCTTCATTAAAAACCGCTGCTAGGCAGCGGGCCAGGATATCTCTAAACTTGCTGTAATAAGAGTTGGCAAAGCCGTCTGGGCCCGGGGCCTTGCCCTTGGCAGTGTCTGTATTGTATCCCTTACCTCCTCTGAGGTGACTGGTCGGGCCAGTGTTTCTTTTTGTTGAGTTGTCAGGATCGGAAGGTTGAGTTTGTCTAGGTAAGTCTCTATCTCGGTATCTGTCAGGGTGTTTATGGCTACGTCATTGCGGAGGTTGTACAGGTCCCCATAGTATTGTGCAAACTCGTCACTAATAGAGAGTGGCGACATAACTTCCCCTCTGCTTTTGTGTGTCGGAATGCTATCTTCTGTAACTGCTGTCGCTTTTTTAACCTTGACGCCAGCAATTTACCCGCTCTATTCCCCTGGGAGTAGTGTGATGCTTTTAGTTTCCGTAGATTGTGTCCTACTTTATGCAGCACGTGTTGGCGAAGCTGTTGGTGCACTAGGGCTATTTGTTGTTTCAGTTGGTTTGTGGGGTGGAATTGGTTTTGCATCGTCAATGTGTAAATGTCTTTTTGCCACTGCAACACTTGTGCCTGTGTTTTCCTTTTATGGTATGATGCTCGTTTTAAAAGGAGTCCTCGGGCGACCGCCTTGTGTGCTTGCCATATTGTGTGGTGTTGTAAATCGGGGTTAGCATTGTCTGTAAAGAAATTCTTTAATGACTCGGCTAGGTCATCCGAGAAGGATTTGTCTATCAGGAGGGTCTCATTAAGCCGCCAAGGGCTCCTATGTTTGAAGTCATAAGTATCCCTTAAGGTTAATTCCACAGGGGCATGGTCAGACCACACTATCTGTCCTACTCTACAGTCCACTATCTGCCCAAGCGTGGTCCCCTCCACCAGGATCGCATCGATTCTCGAGTATGTGTTATGAACTTGTGAGTTATGGGTATACTCCTTATCTTCCGTATGAGTGACTCTCCAAGCATTGTAGTAATGATGCAGGGACAGTAATTTTGCCAAAGCTGCACTCTGACGCTTAAGTGGTTTGTATCTTGGGCTAGTTCGGGAGAGAGTAGTGTCTATGGCTGGATTTAGGACATGGTTTAGATCCCCACATATGATTGTTATGCCTTGTTGGATATTGGATATTTTGTGCACTATTTTGTGTATAAAATTCCTCTGATTGGTGTTTGGGGCATATACATTCGCTATTGTGTATAGGACATTGTTTATGCGTCCAACTATGATAACATATCTGCCTTCTGTATCAGTATCCTCGGCAATCAGTTCGAAAGCAACCTTTTTACTTATTAGGGTGGCGACTCCCTTTGATTTATTATTGGACATGGAATGGAACTGGTGAGGGTAGGAGTTAGTCAGGATGCTGGGATGATTCGTGCCCCTGAAGTGCGTTTCCTGTAAACACACAATGTCCGCGTCAGTTTTACCTACGTCTCTACCTAGAAGGTGTCTTTGTACTGGGAGATTGAGTCCCCGTACATTGTGGCTATAAAACTTTATGGTGGTATGTACGGGAAAGTATTGTGTGTACCCAATAGGTATTGTTCTATTATTGGGCTCTGCCCTCCCCAGCTACTGCGAGCTAGGCAGATCCCATGTATTTCGTTAGGTATGGCTGACCGATGTCCTGCTTCAGGAGAAGGAACGCATGTAGTGCTATAGTCTAGATGTTAGGCAATGTATATGGGCCACCCACGTGGCCCTGATGGAGTGTGGGGGATCTGAGGGAGGGTGACATAACAGGAAAAGAACAAGTTACAGAACCCTGTGCTACGCAAGATTCAAACATATACATTTATAAGCGAAAGTGCCAGAATAATGGCAAGGTTCCCGTATGGGGAGCCATGGGGGTCGGAGCATAGTGTTTCGATCCTGTTTGGGGGGTGCTGCCGCGAGGGCGGCCCTCCTGAAGTTTGTTAACATATTGGTTGACCCATTTTGCGTTATTGTGCCGTTATCTCATTTATGCCAACAGTCCTTGATTAGCCAGTCCGTTATACTAATTGGTCTCAGGGGCGTGGTGAGACACCACATTGGTATCTAGTGCTTTGTACTTTTTTTTTTTGTGGTGTTTTCAAATAATAGTACAGTTGGGAAGCCGTAATACCAACTCAGGGAGTATTCAGCTTGGGTCTACACATGACCCTTCGATGACAGTTTACAATTATCGCAGAGTATCAGTCCTCAACTGCTCTCTACATATTAGTCCCCTGGTCTGACTCGGTTATTCTGATGTCTATGTGCACCAAAGTTAAACATTATATGTAACACGGCTATAGATTACTGCGGGATACAGCACAGTGTCAAGGTATACTTGCGGGCATTGTAAAAAGTCTGTGCGTGCTCCCTGTCCAGGGCTATTTGCGCGCCTTCTTCCATGCAGAGGTTTGCCGCTCATTCGGTGCGGGTCTCTGCGTTTCTGTGAGCGGAGTGATGCCCCAGTCCCCAGCTTTTGTAGACCTTCCTCTGGGGATATGATAGCCGTGAGAGTTCCGTTGCGCTGGATCAGTAACTTAGTCGGGTATCCCCACCCGTAAGCGATGTTGTTGTCTCTCAGAGCTGCGGTGATGTTGCCGAAGGTCTTTCTTTTCCGCAGTGTCATGGCGGAGATGTCCGCAAAGATCCCGATCTTTTGATATTCTGCAGGCACGTCTTTTCGAGTGCGGCTTGCTTTAAGAACCGCCTCCTTCGCATGATAGTAATGCATCTTCAAGACAATATCTCTTGGCGTGTCTGCAGGTAAGTATAGGGGTATATTTTGCCACTCTGTGGATGCGGTCCATCAACAGGACGTTCTGTGGCAGGTCGGGGACAAGCATGTGGAAGAGCCCCGTCGCGTAAGCTGGCAGATCCTGAGGGCGATTTTGGCCTCATAATCATTTAATCTGTCCCATACCTCGTCTACTTTGGAAGACAGGCGGTTATGAGCCTCCGATTGCGCCTCCATTTGGTTTTCCAGGTCTGAGGTGCGGGAGCTCAGTTTGTGGATGTCTGTGCGGAGGTCCGTAAATGAATGCTGCAGTGTGCTTTGCAGTTTTGCCGCCATGTCATCGAACATAACCTGCAGCCCCTCCATGGTGAGTATGCGGCTTGCAGCCTCAGTGTGCGTTCCTTGGGCCCCATCCGTCTCGGCGCCATCTTGGGATTCCTCCTGTATTACCGCTCCTCGCGTTTGCCCTTGTTTGGCGCTAAAGAATAGTAGTTTGTCCTGTTTCTCGGACGCTCGTTTAGCTTTGTTGTGAGACATGGTTGCAGATGCCCGGGTGCTCGAATTTTCTTCAGATTTGGGTCTTAATTGCAGTATGAGGGCCTACACTGTCGCAGAGCTAGCAGAGCATGCGACCGCTCGCGTTCCCGTCCAGGCCACGCCCAGGGACGTATTTTTTTCCTCACATTGAGGCATGATTACTGATGCTATAGACAGGATGTGTGGGAAAGCTTTGCTCTTAGGATGAAAGCGGTGAGTGAATGGTCAATTGCCCACTCACCGTAGTGTAATTAGCAGCTTAAGTTGTAGATTTTTTGAGTAAGAGCACTAATAGTAAAATCTATTATGATTGGGGTGTTTGTAATGTGTGACATTTTGGGGAAGAAAGTTTGAGTAAAGAGAAACTCTTATTTAAAGAAAGTACAAATTACAGATTTGAAGATGCTCCTAGCAACTCAAAGTGAAAAGAAAAGTGATTTGGGAAATAGTGATGTCACGAACGTGAATTTTTCGGTTCGCGAATGGCGAACGCGAACCCGCGAACCGGGCAAACCGCCATAGACTTCAATGGGCAGGCGAATTTTAAAACCCACAGGGACTCTTATTGGTGAAAGGGGGGGGGAGACCTACTCTCCTCCCCCCCCGGCCCCCACCCCTGGGCGGCGGGTGGGGGCCATAAAGATAATGAGGGGGGGACCTACTGTCCCCCCCCGGCCCCCACCCCTGCGCGGCGGGTGGGGGCCATATTGATAATGAGGGGGGACCTACTGCCTCCCCGGCCCCCACCCCTGCGCAGCGGGTGGGGGCCATATTGATAATGAGGGGGGGACCTACTGTCCACCCCCCCTCCGGCCCCCACCCCTGCGCGGCGGGTGGGGGCCATAGTGATAATGAGGGGGGGACCTACTGTCCTCCCTCCCCGGCCCCCACCCCTGGGCGGCGGGTGGGGGCCATAAAGACTAATGAGGGGGGGACCTACTGTCCTCCCTCCCCGGCCCCCACCCCTGGGCGGCGGGTGGGGGCCATAAAGACTAATGAGGGGGGAGGACCTACTGTCCTCCCCCCCCGGCCCCCACCCCTGGGCGGTGGGTGGGGGCCACAAAGTTAATGAGGGGGGGAACCTACTGTCCTCCCCCCCCGCCCCCACCCCTGGGCTGCGGGTGGGGGCCCTAAGTAAACCCCCCAAGGTGACTAGGGGTCCCCAAGCCCCTAGTCACCCCCCCCCAAATAAAAAGTCCCTACCCACCCCCCTCACCCTAAAAAATAGTGAGGGGGGAATAAAATAGCTAACCTGTAAAATAAAAGTAAACTTACCATTCGACGTCTTCTTTTTTCTCAAATCTTCTTTTTCAGCCACAAAAAAGGCCAAATAAAAAACCATCATAACCGTTGAATTGAAAATAAAATAAAAATCCCGAGCGCAAAAAAATAATCCATCTTCACCCATGGAGGGCTCCGCGCAGACTGAGCTCTGCAGGGCGGGGGAAGGCTTATAAAGCCTTGCCATGCCCTGCAATTAGGCTAAGAACACTCTGATTGGTGGGTTTAAGCCAATCAGAGTGCTCTTTGTCATTTTACACAGCGTGGGAAAATTCAAAAGAACATTCCCACGCTGTGTAAAATGACACAGAGCACTGTGATTGGATGGCTTGAAAGCCATCCAATCACAGTGCTCTGTGTCATTTTACACAGCGTGGGAAAGTTCTTTTGAATTTTCCCACGCTGTGTAAAATGACAAAGAAATACTTGCGGTATTGCGAGTAGGGGCACAATTTACTAATACTAAGTAATTTTTACTTAGTATTAGTAAATTAATAGGGGGCGGACCGAACATTGCATATGTTCGCTGTCGGCGGCGAACGCGAACACGCTATGTTCGCCAGGAACTATTCGCCGGCGAACCGTTCGGGACATCACTATTGGGAAAATAGAGCTTATGAAGAAGATGAAGGATCAAGGATGAAAACTATTCTTTCTCCTTGTTTTTTTTTTTGCTGGAATGAGGAGGGGCAGAAAGGAGAGAATTTAGTTCTCTTTTCTCTTCCTTCTTCCTTTTCCCCTCCTTAACATAGGGTATATAAGGAGAGTATACTATAACTAGAAAATAGAATCTTTTTAAAAAATCCCCTCTCTTTTTTTCTCACTTATCTACCTACTTACTTATTTCAGTTTTTCTGCCACACAAGTGAAAAGGGTAGCTTAAAGATGATAAAGAATAAGCACCAACTAAAGCATTATTCGTAGGGCTACGAAATGTGGAAAGGTTAAATGCATTGTTGCAATAGTTTAAAATAAAGCAATAAGAGGATTGGCACTTGTGGGATGGGAAAAGAAGGAAGAAATATTTTTGTTTCTGCTGTAGGGATATGTATATACATATATATATATATATATATATATATATATATATATATATATTTCTTTTTTTTCTCTATGGCATTATTTGCTGCACAAGTATAAAGTATAATATATGGGAAGTAGAGTAGAAGCACCAATTTAAGCACTACACATAAGGATATGAAACATGTAATTTTCTATTTTACTGATTAATATAAGGTAACAAGAATGCACTAATCATAATCAGGAAGTATTACTTTACTGAGAAAGTAGTGGATGCATGGAATAGCCTTCCATCTGAAGTGGTAGAGGTTAACACAGTAAAGGAGTTTAAGCATGCGTCGTATAGGCATAAGGCTATCCTAACTATAAGATAAGACTAGGGACTAATGAAAGTATTTAGAAAATTGGGCAGACTAGATGGGCCGAATGGTTCTTATCTGCCGTCACATTCTATATTTCTATGTAATGCTGGTACCTTTAATGTGTTATATAAGGATATTAAATATGGAACTTTTTAACTCACTTTTCAATACACGGTAATAAGGAAGTGGGTATTTTAGAAGATCATAAGAAGAGATAAAAATAGATAGAAAGTACCACAAATAAGCATTGAAATATAAAAATGTATCTATCACTTTAATATAATGAAATAAGAAGGCTGGAAAATTAGAAGTATGGCTACATGCTCTGATTCTTTTAATTTTTTTAAGCACTAAAATTGAGCATAAAAAATAACAACAAAATAGGCAATATGCACTACGATTAGGGATTTAAAGATACACATATCACTAGTCGAAAATATCGTAGGATGATTTTTGGAACTAACAGTTATAGAAAGGATTGCAATTTTTTAATTTTATTTATTTATTTATTACCATACTATATCTAAATTTCCTAAATTTTCTTTAGGGCACAAGCTCTAGGGTAGAGCTAGTCTCAGCTTCTCAGCCTCAGTAGGCTTATATCCAGGATTTATAGAAGGATGATGTATTTCTGATAAGGCTTAAAAGAAGCATTATATCAGTAGTTTATACTACTATATTAATATAGAATAAAGAGAATAGATGGATATTCTAAAAAGATTTAAGAGGTTTGCTCTAATTTGTTCCTGTGTTAGTATGTTCTTTTTTTTTTTTTCTCTCCTTTGGAGGTTTATACTCCTTGTGAATATGATCTCTCGCTAAAAATAGAAAAATAAGATAAGATAAACTCCTCTCCTTAGAAACTCAACACCTGCACGTGGTTGTACTCTGTTTTTGATTTGTTTAGAGGATTAGCCTAGGGAGATACAAGGGTATCTGTATGGGCATTAGGTATGATTGGATTTGGAATGGATGGATGTTTGGAATGGGTGGCGGGTTTTCTCATGAGCACTGGAATAAAGGAATAGGGGGCAAGGGCGTGGGAAAGGTTGGGCACTTTGGGGATAGGTATCATGCTCAATGAAGATTAAAATAGCATCAATCAATACCAAGGGACTAAATTCTTCCCAGAAAAAAGCCTGTCTCTATGATTTATTGAATAAAGAAGGGATAAATATCTGCTTTGCACAAGAGACACACTGGGATTGTCAGGGCTCTTATTTTTGGAGGTATAAAAAATTCCCAATAGTTTATGAAGCAGCATTAATGGATAAGAAGAAAAAAGGAGTAGCCATAATAATATCGAAGGAATTGCAATCTAAATATATTTTTCACAAGGCAGATAGCAATGGGAGATACATAATATTGGTCTGTAAAGTAAATAAAAAATGGTATACTCTTGTAAACTGCTACGCTCCCAATGATTTCCCCTGTGAAATTTCTGAATTCCTTAATGGAAAAAGTAGATAGATTCTCCAAAGGAGTCTTAATAATTGGGGGCAACATGAATTGCACTGCAGATGTCAATATGGATAAAAAACAAATTAATGGGAATAAGATAGATAATAAAACTAAAGCGTATGCAGAAAAACTTACTAGATGTATGATAAAGAATAATCTCTATGATTTGTGGAGAACAAAGCATCCACTGGAAAGATAATACACTTTTTTTCTCTAGTAGACACCTATCGTATTCAAAACAAATATCAGTGGTATAGCTAGTAGTGACAATAATGCTCAAAACACCCGTGTGGTATTCCCTGGTATACCAACACAAAGAAATACATACACTACAAACACAATGGATGGAGCATATATATTATTTCCTCTCTTCTCAATTTGTTCAATGATGCTGGGGAGACACATGTTATTCTTTATGTTGATATTGTAAAGTTTTCTGCACTATTTTGTATACCTCTCTGTCTCCACAGCATCACTGAACATTTTGAGAAGAGAGGAAATAATATATATGCTACATCCATTGTGTTTGTACTGTACCTATCGTATTCAAGGATATATTTTTATATTTTTTTTAAATGAAGTTTTATAATCTGAAATGTTGTACTTCCTCTTCTATTGGTAATATAAGCTGGTCTGACCATGCCCCAGTCTACTGTGAACTGAAGAACAACCTGCAATTTAATTGTAGAGTGGAATGGAAAATTAATGATTACAATTTATGTTCTGCAGAAAAAATGTAAAAATTTGTAGATGAAATCCAACAATTTCTAAGTTTTAATGATAATAGGGAGGTCTCGGACCCAACTCTATGGGACGATTTTAAAAATGTACAATAAGGGGGTGTTTAATTTAAAATTATGTAACTTTGCAGAAAAT